CTAATATTTACTATTCAACAGAAAAGTTTCAGCTCTCACACTAAAAAGATGAAGGAGAAAGACCTCAAATGCTTAACTTCTGCTCACAGGAACTGCATACAATTTAACTTTTATGTTCCAGGTAATAGGTGTAGAGGCACAATGAAGAGGATTTTGCTCTCCTGCAACGGCCAAGTTAGCTCAGGTTACCTTAACCTGACTTTCAGAGCAATGACTGCTCTAGTAAAGGAAGTTTCTAATTAGAAGCAAAATTGTTTCAACTTAAATATAGAAACCTACTTAGTGATTACAGTGTGTGGATGTTCAAGTCCTATTTGCTTGGAATTACACTGGGGCTCTGTGCAACACTGAAAGGAATTATCCCAGGTGTACTAGCCAAAATAGCAAAGTCACCTTCAGCATTTCTCATTGCAATAAACGCTCCCTTCAATTATTTTTCCCCCTAAAACATGCTTACGATGAATTATTTATTTACTTATTTATTAGAAATTATCTTGTAAATATAATGCTTGTCACAGAATAGGAAGGTACAGTAGAGCAAATTTCAACAGAAAGAAGGAAAAATACACAGAATCTGTTTATACGCTTATGTGAATGAGTAAATAAAGTTATTTGCTGGTCAAAACGATGTAACTGAAGACATTACTATACAAATAAAATATAAATTATAAGATCACACTTTCTAAAAGACATTTTGTGTAAAGATTTTTATAATATATTCGATCAGGAGAAAATGTAAAATTCTGTGATTACCATGTTACTATAACTACTATCCCCCAATCATACATATTACCATAACTACATATATTTTACCTTAACTACTACCAACAACCACAACAGACTACTCCACAGTTTCTTCCTATCACACAGGATTTAAGATTTCTGTAACAACAATTCAGGAAGACCTCACAGGCAGCAGTTCAACAGCCCTTTTAAAGATGAGGAAGCCTTGAGGAACTAAGTCCCTCCTATTCCCAGATTTAAGATTTCTGTAACAACAATTCAGGATTTGGAATTACAATAAAAGAGACTTGGAGATTTTGAGTAAAGTTTAGTGATTTGTTCCTGCTTCTGGAACCACATTTATGGCTGGAATCAAAAACCTGAAGCTACTAGATTATCCTTTCTTAATAAACTTCGTATTTTCAAGTGGAGTACATATAAATGCTGGGAGAAATGTGATAAAACAGCAGTAGAGAAAACAATTTGCTTGGAAATTGTTCCATAATCCATGCTATTTCTGACTTCCCATTGTACTGCTTGGGTGGATTCTGTCAAAAATTAGTTATGGATTTGTGACCTTCACACAGTACGTAATTTAGTCTCCACAGGGAATAACCTTGAGGGATGCCCAGAAAGAGTAGTCTGTGCAAAACTTCATCATCCTTGAGTAGATTTATTTGAGCAAAGAGCAAATGACAGTAACTCCACAAGGAAAACACCAGCTTTCTCTGTCACACTTCGCAGTCGCATTTGTTCATGTTGATCCATCAAACCCAAGCCTATGTTTTGCAGCACTGGAGAGGCCTCCTCAGCCTTTCACAGCATATGATGTGATCAGCTCAGCATCTCTACCTGAACCACTGAAGTAGTAGCAGGAAAACGTCTTATGACGAGCTTCCTGAGCAATGGACACATTAGAAGCCTGAATTCCAGCAGAAGCATCTGTTGTACAGCATAATACTCATCTTTTCTCCTGTCTATCTGAAGGAGCGCAGATATTCCGTTTAATGAATTTTGATTAAAAGCAGAGACTGTCAGTGTCAGCGGTAGTCTTTTCAGACATGTATCTGCAGACAAGAGAAGATTTCCCTTTCAAAGGGCACATTAATATTAAATTGGAAGTACTGGCACACATCAGTGACCAAGACTCAGTAATTGCTGTACCTTATGCTTTTTACTAATCCTTCTTCATTAAAAAGAGTATATACATACTCAGAAATAGCAATTATAATAATTGCTTCTGGACAAAGAAATGTAACATTTTAGTATCCTAATTAAATAAAGAGTCGATGTACAGCAGAAATGCTTTAATTTCAAATAAACTCTCACCAACTTGATTCTATTGTACTCATTTAACATCTAAGGTCCCTTCAAAACAAACTTGTCTACTTCCTAAACATGTCAAAAGTAATGGTCATCAATATCAATATCCAATATCAAGCGGTAAGGAAATATTTATCCACTCATGCACAGACAAAAAAGCCATAAGTCAAATACATAATGAAGTTAGATTTTCTTTTTCAAAATGTATGTCTTTTAATGTAGTAAACAATTCAATATACAGAAACTACAAAGAAAAGCAATTAGAAAATAGGATTTTAAAAAAAAGTGATTTTCAAACTCCTGCAATTTTGGAACAAGTCTTGAGTTGAAAATGCACTTCTTTATAAAGGAAGTGCAATAGCTCATTACTAAAAAGTCAACTATGGATATTATCCAATTTTATCTCTAGGGCTAATTTAATGAGAGTGAATTACTGACTGCTAAATTACTACCTAATAAAGTAAAGCAGTATTGGCAAGAATGACAAACATACAACAACTCTTTGTGAATGACTGAACATCCTGAATAGAAACTTCACTGCGAAAAACCATCTTCTTTCAGCAAAGAGATTGAAGATTAATAATAGAAACCACTTTACTTTTCAATTTGCAGCTTTAATGGGGTTAAGCAATAGCAATATGAAAAACTGGGATTAGTTATAATTACTGCACATTAACTTCAATAATAAGCATTTTTTCATTAGCAAGCCTTAAACTTCTAATGCTATACGAGAAATAAATGCTGTACAGGATAAGATTTAGAGGTAATAAAAGCTAACAAGCAAACAAACAAACAAAGAAGCCTCTACTTAGTATCTCTGTTGCTGTCATGAATTTTAACTTTTTCCTAAGTCCTAAACTCTCCCACTGACACTGAGTAGAGTTACTCTTTAGATGCAAAAAGTCATGGTTGCTACCGAACACATAGGGTAAAGGTGGAAAGGACAGAACACAAGAAGGAGACACAATTACATATGAGAAATGAAAAGTTCTGCAGTAGAATTTCCCATCAGGCCAGTTATTTCGAGAGGCTTGAGGATGTTTTTTGGCCAGCGGAATTGAGGACCCACTGCACCCAGATCGGCCCTGGGACAAGTCGTCACTGCGGCTCCCTTTTCACCCCAACTGCCTGCCCTTTGCTCTCCACGCTAACGTGTTTATCTGCTCAGTCCATACACCGCTTCCAAGCCCACTCTGACTTGCTCATGTTTCCCCTGCTCTACTGCATCTCCCATGCAGATTGCACACTTTTTGCGGGGGGGAAAAGGACTGTGGTGTTACTTACTTGTCCTATTAGCTGATCAGGTGACACAATAAGTGAGCCACACTGTGACCAATCCCTTCTCTCAGATGGAGTAAAGTGTTACTGCTGACTTTAAGAAAGTAACCAACCGAACCACTAAAAATTGCACTGACCTTCAACTTTCTAGATACTATGCTACAAAAAAGAAGATTATTCTAAGAAGAGAAACATGGTGATTTAGGGAAAAAAAATAGAGTTAAAAAGGATCAAAAATAAATGATCAGTATATTACATCGTAAAGTTAGGTAGGATACTAAATGCTTTTTAAACAATTTCTCTCCAATATTTTTGTCAGAAGACAGATCGTGAATGTGACATATCTCTCATTTTGAACTCAAGATGTTATTAATATTTTTAAAAGGCTTATGTAGGATTTCTAGCAATCTTTTGTATTATTGATGCTCATCTTGCGCGGGTCCTATGCGAGAATAATTCCTTTCTAGAGTAAGTTTATAGACTACTGCACACTCCGCAGTCCCAGTTCACTGAAATAAATTACATACTATAGTCTGTACAGAAAATAGAGTAACTTCCATTGAGATGCCTGTTTATACTACTAGCTCTGAGTAATAACCTCTAAGTCAATTTATACTAAGTTAAAATAACAGCAATGTTGTCCTTGTCCTTTCAGCTACTAATCTGAGGTGCCTTAAAAATTAATCCGTCTCCCACGCCCATCCTGCCCCCATGACTCCAAGTAAGCAATTCTCTGAATGACATTTTAGCACAGCAATGCATAAAGAGGAAAGCAATGTCGCTGCAGGACAATGCTGCACTGTCCTGAACTGTGCAGGGAAGCACATTCAGCTTTCCTGTTATTGTCCGTTCATCCTCTGCAGCTAGAACACATATCAAGCGAGCTCATTTATCCAGAGAGCAAAATATTAATTTCTCATTCCATTAAATGATGTTCTTATTTTTCTTTTAATACGAGTAAATACTTTTGGTCTTCATATGAGACAACAAACAAATCTGGAAGTGAGGACCTTCTTCTACCAGATCTAAGCTAAAGGTGGTGTGCTTTTGCAGGATTTTGTAAGCTTGCTTATCAGGATTCCCCATGCCAACAAGTCATTCACTTCCTAAGTAGTTATATATC